ACGCTGCAGTCTACCCCCTAGATTTCAGCCAGCCTCAGATCATGGGCATGGGCATGTCCAGTATACTCAGGGAGGTTCCAAGATTTGAACCAGGAACCCTTCTATATGGTATTATGTCATAGAGCATCCTATTTAATCACTCTGCCACTCACCCACAAGCTCCAGTATGCTATACTATTTTTTTGTTTTGTTTTTTAATATGCTTGCTGAGGGAGGTGGAGCACATCCCCAAGAAGGATGGTCATACCATGATCTCTTCTACTCCGTTCCTTTATTCTACTCTCAGGATGTTGGGCATACACACACATGTACCCAGCACAATTTTCAAGCCATCAGATCTGGAACTTGAATTGTGCAGTTGACTGTGTGGGATCCAGGCACCTTAACCACTCTGCCACTGGCTGGCCTAAAATAAAACAATTTCCTAATTTTAATATCATTTGCTATCTGACTGCTAAGAATTTTCAGAATTATACGATCCTAACTCATTTTTATCCCTCTCTTGCATTTTTTAAAAAAACTTGGAACTACTTATTTAGCTTTATTGTTATTATTTATTTTGACCAGTGTGAGAAAAAGAGAGCAGGAGCATGAGAAAGCAAGCTGCCAGGTCCAGGCCTTGAACTACAGTCGGCTATGCGGGAGTCTAGCACTCCAACCACCATACCACCTGCCAAACCTTCTTGCATTTTTTAAAAAGAATTATTTAATTTTATTTATTATTATTATTATTATTATTTTAATTTAATACACTCACAAAGAGATGGAAAGAGAGAAAGCAAAGTACCAGGTCTAGGACTTGAACCACTTTCGGCCATGTGGGAGTCCAGCACTCCAACCACCATGCCACCTGCTGGCACCAATTCTTGCACTTCAATGTGAATAGCAAAAGGAAGCCAAAAGATACCTTCAACCTTGGAAATCTCTCTAACTAGATTGTCATCCCTTTCATGAGTCACAACTTCCCCTTTTCATGTTATGGCAGGCACCAACTTTGCCAGTGCATAACAAAGATCTCTTTGCCTCCCATTTCTTTCTTTCTTTCTTTCTTTTTTTTTTTTCTTGAAGGTTTTTGCCATAGCGTATGTGCACTCACTATAGAGAGATGGAGAGAGATAGTGAGAGGGAAAGTCGTAATATTTATTCAGGGGGGATGGCCACACTGCAATCCCTTCTCTTCTGTTCTCTTGGAATTTTTGACATATGTGTATATGTGCCTGGCGTGATTTTCAAACTACCTAGTCCAGGATTTAGACTGTGGTCAGATATGTGGAAGTCCAGCGCCTTAACCACTCTGCCAGCAATTTCTAATAATATTTTCTTACTTTACCTTAAGCTCTCACTCACACCTAACTTCCTCAGAGACCGTTATATTTCTACTATTTCTTCATACTTTCACTGACAAGCTCCTCCAGTCCTTCCAACTTCTACCCACTGTATTAGTTATCTGTTGCTATGTAACATATTATCTCAGGACTTAGTGGCTCACATACAGCAACTTTGGGGCCAGTTGCTGTGGTAGTTAAGGTGCTGGACTCTCACATGATTTACCACAGTTTGAACCCCTGACCTGATGGCTTGAGAATCACACCAGGTGTGTGTGCATGCCTAAAATCCTGATAGAATGGAGGAGAAGCAATTGCAGCATGGCTGTCATCACCCCTGGGTGAGTGATTTCTCACTTTTCCCTTTCTCTGTCTCCAGCGAGAGCTTGCACCCTATTGCAAAAACCTAAAACAAAACAAAATGACAATTATTATTATCTCACAGGTTTAGTGGGTAAGAAATTTAGAAGTAGTACAGCTGGATGGTTCTGGCTCAGTGTCTCACTGTTGTAGCCATCTACAAGGTTAACTAGGGTTTACACTTATTCTGGCAGATTTTTTCTGAATGTTGGCAGGAGGCCTTACTTCCTCATTACACAGCATTTCCATAGAACTGCTTGATGTGGCACTTCCCCAGAGCAAGTAATCCAAGAGAAAGCACGGAGGATGTCACAGTGCTTTATGAATTTATCTTGGAAGTCACAAAGTATCACTTCTGCCATATTCTGTGATCAGTGAGTTAGCCACGAAATCTAGCCCATACTCAAGGGAGAATTGCCAAATAATTTTTCAATGTATTTTGAAGTAAACACAGCGGGAACCAGCAGATAGTGTAATAATTATGTCGCTCAACTCCCATGTAGTTGACTGCAGTTTGAGTCTTGGGCCCAGCTGCTTCAAATATGCTAAGTGGGTGTGCATGCATGCCCAAAATCCTGAGAGGAAAAAAGGAGAAAGGATCACGGCGTGACCATCCCTCCTCTCCCCTCCCCCCCCCGGAGGGTGATTTCTCACATTCTGTCATTCTGCCTCTTTGTCTCTCTGCCAAGTGCACATGTCCTATAGCAGAAATCTCCCCCCAAAAATAAATAAATAAATAAATAAATAAAAATAAACACAGGGATGATTAAAAAAAAAAAGTTGAACTCATGAAAATAGATGGTAGACGATTGGTTGGTTACCAGGAGTGCAGGGATGGATTGGGGAGATATTAGCCAAAGAATACAAAATTTCAGTTAGGAAGAATAAGTGCAAAAGATCTCTTGTACAATGTGATGAATATAGTTAATGATGTATTATGCACTTGAAAATTACAAGAGAAGAGATGCAAAGTATTCTCACAATAAATAAATGATAAGTTATGTGAGGGCAGTACATAGGTTAACTAGCTTGATTTAGGCATTTACACATACGTACATTTCAGAACATCAGAGTGCATACCATAGACACATATGGTTTTTATTTGTCAATTAAAAAAATAAGGAAAAGATACAAGAGAAACCAAATAAAACAAACATGGAGAATAGTGTAAGCAGCTATGTTGAACTTCAGTAGCAGGGAAAGTCTAATATTAGCTATTGCCATTGTTACATAGATTGGCTTAATAAGTCAAGTGGGAACCATGGAGTGAAAAGTGCCAACCATTGAGCCAGCAGGTAGCAGGGTGGTTAAGGCACTAGAGTCTCACTTGGCCACCTACAGTCCAGGTCCTAGACCTGGTGGCTTAAAACTCACACCAGGCACATGTGTTTGCATACCCAAAATTCTAGGAGGAGAACAGAGAAGAGATGTAGTGTGGCCATCCCCCCTTGGAGGGCATTTCTTACTTTCTCTCTCAGTGTCTCTTTCTGTCTCTGGTGAACTCTCGTGCCCTATGGCAAAAATTTAAAAAAAAAAAAAAAAAGTACCTGTCATTCATAACACTGGAGATCTTGGGCCAACGCTGTCCCTGTGGCACAGCTGTAATGTGCTGCTGAAGAGAAGCCAGATCCCACATAGCAACTGCAGTTCAAATTCTTGGCCTGATCAACCTGAAACATGCTAGGCATGTGAGCTGGAGACTGTTGGAAGAAGATTACATGTGATTAGACATGTGGAGAGTGGAGAGTGTTCATCTCTCTCTCTCTCTCTCTCTTTCACTCTTACTTGCATGATAAGAGTGCATCTCTCACAATAAAGGTGCAATTGTGCACTTCTATCATGAATTTACAAAAATTTAAAAACACAGGAGATCTTTTCTCCCTGGTTTATTTGTTCATTTCATGAGAGGGAGAAAGCACCCCCAACAGGGTTCTAGTGCCACAACCCACCTCTAGCAGTCAGCCAGCCCACACTAGATCATGAGCAAGCATATGCCCAGCTTACTCAAGGAGGTCCCTGGACTTGAACCAGGAATCTTCCTATGTGGAACTGCTATCTGATCCCAAGAACACAAGTGAGAGGAATATTCCCTTAGGTTTTTTTTTTTTTTTTTCCTTTTCTCTCTCTCTCTCTCTCTTTTTTTTTTTCTTTTAAGGTTTTTGACATAGGGCACATGTGCTTGCCAGAGAGAGAGAAAGTAAGAAGTCATCTCCTCACCTGGAGGAAGTGGGATGACCATGCTGTAATCACTTCTTCGTTCTTCTCTCAGGATTTTGGGCACACATGTACACAGGCCCAGTGTGATTTTCAAGCCTCCAGATTCTGGGGCTCAAATCACAGTTGGGCATGTGGGAGTCTAGTGCCTTAACCACCATGTCACTTGCCAGCCTCCTTTAGTTTTTTCTTTAACTGAGGCATCACCTCAATGTTTCTTTGAGTAGTTAAGACCAACTCATTACAATACAGAACTGGTTATGTGTGCCATCACCAGTGTTCAGAATGAGAAGTGCCAAGTATTTGTGTGTGTGTGTGTGTGTGTGTGTGTGTGTGTGTGTGTATGTATTATGATCATCTGAAACACCGTTAAAATAGAATTATTCTCAAACTTAAGAAAATTTTAAAAGGACACTCTTATACAAAAACCAGTGTATAAAACACATAATAATAGTTACCCTGAAATGTCATTTTGGCGAGTTTGGGCCCAGAATCCTACTGATTCAGCATTCCTTTCAATTCTTCCTCATATTGGTGCCAGAGATTAAGAAACATAGTTTGAAAACTACACCATGCCATTAGATCTCTTCTCAGCCTAATTCACAAAAATCTACTAATACATTAGAAAATAGAGCTCAGGAAAAGAGCCATAATAATAAAAATAGTGCACCACCGGGTAGCAGACTGATTTCTGGTGCTCTCTTATATAATAATGAAAAGACATTGGGAACCAGCAGTTAGCATAATGGCTATGTCGCTGGATTCCCACGTAGTCAACCGCGGTTCGCGTCCCGGACCTGGTGGCTTAAAACTCACGCCGGGCACGTGTGCGTGCGTGCCCATGATCCCGAGAGGAGAATGGAGGAGAAGGGATTGCGGTGTGACCACCCCCCCGGGGGGTGATTTCTCGCTTTCTGTCTCTATGTCTCTCTCTGTCTGTTTGGCGAGCGCACGCGCCCTATAGCGAAAATCTCTCTCAAAAAAAAAAAAAAAAAGACATTGTGGCTTGGAAAGGTGGTTGGTGATTGGTTAGTCAGTCATGGGTATCTGTACAGTATTTCCATTGCTCTGTTGTCTCACCAACATTTTCTCCTTTAACAGAATAATACAACAGATCTTTGCAGGATTCTTTGCAAATTCTGCAATTCCTGGATCCCCACACCCTTTTTCCTGGTAAGTAACCATTGCTTTCTGTCTGTCTTTGTCAGAATAGCATCATTTTAGATGCTATAGTTTGTGCTGGAAAGAAAAAGAAAAAGAGCAACATAGGTAAGTACATAAGTGTGATTGGAAGACTGTTAGACTGTCGTTATCCATTGATCCCAATAATAAGTTCTTAATCAGGACTTATTTTTTATTATCAGGCTCAGGAGGGCCATCCTGGCCTCCTAGGATATTTAAGTGCTGGATATGTCTGATTCTTTTCATGGTCTGAAGGTTGTGTTGAGATGGAGAGTGAGACAGTGCCTGCCAGGCTTGGTTTTTGATTTATGAGTTCAGACCATATGGGAAGATTTTATTTATTCATTAAGAATTTCTGAAATTGAAAACATAATGCTTAACTTTTTTTTTTTTTCCAAAGTAAGGTTTCTTAGAAAAAGCAAAAGTCTCTAATATTATCAGAGTGACACTAAGGTATGGAAGGGGTTAAAGATGGAGATTTTTCTTGTCTGAACAATTATTTGCCACTTCTCATCCACCCCAGACTCAGAAGGGCCTCATTCCTTCCACGCATCACCCTATTTTCCAGGCTCTAATTCCTTCAGACATGTTTGAGCCAGAGTCTGGTCCTCTGTCATCCAGGTAGTGCACCAGCAGCTCCAAAAAAGAGATGCCACCACGTGTCCTTTGTACTTGCTTGAGGTCTTGATTCAGAGAGACTACTTAGGCTGCTCCTCTGCTTGAAAGCTCCTCATTGTCCAGGACCATGGGCAGCCTCTTAGAAGGAGGAAAATCTGCTGTAGATTTTGGCCAGTTGTGAAAGGAAAACTCTTCCTTAAATAGCAGTTCCATCTATGCTTAATGTAAGTAGACACAGAAAAGACAAATATCTCTTAGCCAACAAGCAATGTATCACTCTTTGTGCTCTGACATGTCATGGAGTACTTTAGGTAGCTTCACATTTTGTGTTCCAGCTAAGTAAAATTCCTAGAGAATGAGAGCTCTGGATAATCTGTCCGACCTTGAAATACGGAGAAATTCTATGCCTCTTGAGTCTAGAGGATCAGTGACTTTTCAGCTGTGACAGAGAACAGGATCCCTCTGCCAGGTTTTTATGTGGTATAAGGCGGAGCCTGGTCTCCCCATCTAATGCCGTCTGTCTCATCTTACGTATAGGAGCGGGATGCTGCACTCCAACCCTGGGGATTATGCCTGGGGTCAGACAGGGCTTGATGCCATTGTAACCCAGGTGAGGAGCTGCCTTTTGAGGGTGTCTCGTTCAATGTGTCTCATGGTTCCACAAACTTCCTGCTTTCCTTCTGCTACTTTCTGAAATGGCAGTCACTCTGCTTTCTCTAATATTTAGAGCTTTGGGGTTTTCATTATACTAAAAGGATAACTGGCTTATGGGTTTAGCTCAGCATACCTGTAACCTCCTAGGTCCAAGGAGATTTCTAAAAGATGGTTTTATCTCCATAGGAAGAAAAGACTTCTCCTGTAACAAACAGTATATTATAATTTTGACCTCTTGTTCAGTCCTATGAGGATCCTTTTAACAAATACTTCACAGAAAAGGGTCTTCTCACATGTCGAAGCAGGGATTTCTGTTAGATGGAGCAAAGTAGGGGAAGGAAGCAGAGAAAAAGGTATTCCCATGCCATGTACAATAGTTTCACTTGTTTATGTTCATTTTAATTTGATTGGTTTTTCATTTCCCTTGTGGTTGCTGAGAATAGAAAGCATGTTATTTCTATCCAAGCATTGTAGGCAGTAATTTACCTGTTTCTTGGCCTACTTTATGCTACTTTCCATATTCCCACCCTTTTCTTCCTTCTGACAAATTGAAGTTTTGGTGCCATTTAAGAATTACTTTTTATTGGGGACCAGCAGGTGGCATGGTGGTTAAGGCGCTGGACACTCCCACATGGCCGACCAGGGTTCAAGTCCTGAATCTGGTGGCTTGCTTTTTCACTTCCTCTCTCTTTCACTCTCACCCTCTGTCTCTTTCTGGTCAAATTAAAAAATAAGTGAATGAATAAATAAAATACAATAAGTATTTATTTTTAAAAATTACTTTTTATTACGCTATAGTTTTATTCATGACATCACAACCCTTTTGCAACCCATGAAGTTGTTTTAAGCCCAGAGGCGGGCCTTGCAATTATGGGTCTGTCTCTCTGTAGGCTTATACGAATGTCACTCTGAAATTGTAAAGCAATTTTGGGTGTCTTGGCAAGAAAAGGGAAATCTAATCTTCTCAGAGCCTTACAGAAGTAAGAGTAACTAACATTTTCTAATATCTGTACTGTTTGTTCTTAGCTGGAGCAACTCCCTCTTTGGGGATATTGAAATGTCTGCCACTTCTTCTCTCTTTCTTTCTTTCTTTTTTTTTTTTTTGGTAGCTTTTAGGACAACTGGAAAACACAGGACCTCCCCCAGCTGACAAGGAAAAGATCACATCTCTTCCAACAGTGACAGTAACTCAGGAACAAGTTGGTAAGTTTATTTTTATACTTATTCTGTTATTTTCTAATCTCTGCTCAAAATTTCAGTACCTTTCTGTACAAGGGTTTTAGGTGGAACTGTTAGCCCCCCTCAGATTCTTACCTGGGTGCCAGATATGGAAGGTGCCTACTCTTTCTTAGGTTAGTCAACAGGTGAAGTTCTTGTTTTTTTTTGTTTTGTTTTGTTTTGTTTTGTTTTGTTTTTGAGGGAATTTATTTATTTAAAAATATTTTTTATTTCATTTTCTTTTACACATTCAATCACTTTATTTAGTTTACATAGTAAAATATTTCAACATGTGAACATTTCTCCTTAGTCCAGTTGATAAAACTATAAAATTACCTTCAACAGATAATACCACATTTCTTTGTCCCATTAATGCTTTGACTCTCTATTTTTCTTCTAAATGTCCTTCCTTAGACTCTAGCCTTTCACACACACTATATCTGGTATTCACATCCATTACTGTGTTTCAGGTGAAGTTTTTGAGCAGTTCCCATGTCCCTTTTCTAGATGCCTTGGAAATAAAGATATATATATATATATACACACACACACATATATATATATATATGTATACACACACACACACACACACACAAATTACCCCCCGGGGGGGTGGCCATGTTGTAAAGGGCACAAGCACTTGCCAGAGAGATAGAAAGTGAGAAATTACCCCCCGGGGGGGTGGCCATGTTGTAATCCTTTTTCCTCCATTCTCCTCTGGGGATCTTGGACATACATGCCCGATATGTTCTAAGCCACCGAGTCTGGGACTCGAACTGTGATTGACCACATGGGAGTCCAGTGACGTAACCATTATGCAATCTGCTGGTCCCAAAGAAATACTTATCTTTATATATAATTGGGGAACTAGCAGTTAGCGTAATGGCTTTGTCACTGGACTCCCACGTAGTCGACCACGGTTCGCATCCTGGACCCAGTGGCTTAAAACTCACGCCGGGCGCATGTGCATGCGTGCCCAAGATCCTGAGAGGAGAATGGAGGAGCAGGGATTGTGGCGTGACCATCCCCCCTGGGGGGTGATTTCTCACTTTCTGTCTCTATGTCTCTCTCTGTCTGGCGAGCGCACACCACAAACCCAGGTCCTTCCTGAGATGGCTACTGAACTTGAGCTGTGAACTACTGATTTCAGGGACTAAAAATGAAAATCTTCTGCTGAGACTTATCCCTTCAGATCCATTACTAGTGGGAGAGGCATAAACCCAGGCCTATCCTGAAATGACTAATGAACTTGAGCTGTGAAATACTGGTTTCAGGGACTAAAACTCCCTCCAGATTCATTTCTCTGTCTCTATCTGTCTGTGTCTTCTGATTAAAAGAAAAAAAAAAATTTTTTTTTGGAGAGGTTTTTGCTACAGGGCGTGTGCACTCGCCAGAAAGACAGAGAGAGACAGAGAGACAGAAAACAAGAAATCACCCCAAAAAAATAAAATAAAATAAAGAATGTCATGGACTAGGACCAGCAGTTGGCGTAATGGCTATGTTGCTGGACTCCCATGTAGCCGACTGCGGTTCGAGTCCTGGGCCCGGGGGGTTAAAATCCGTGTGCGTGCGTGCCCAAGATCCCAAGAGGAAAATAGGGGAGAAGAGATTGTGGCGTGGCCATCCCCCCTGAGGGGTGATTTCTCACTTACTGTCTCTCTGTCTCTCTGTCTTTCTTGCGAATGCACTTGCCCTATAGCAGAAACCTCTTAAAAACACACACACACACACACAAAGAATATCATCAACTTGTCTGAGTTAGATATAAAGAAAAAAGCCTTGCGGAGCCAGCAGGTGGTGTGGTAATTAAGGTGCTGGACTCCCATATGACTGACTGCAGTTCAAGTCCCAGACATGGCAGTTTGCTTTCCTTCTCTCTCTCTGTCTCTCTGTTTCTGTCTCTCTCTCTCTCTGGTAAGGGCACATGCCCTATAGCAAATTAAAAAAAGAAATGATGATAAATAAAGTTAAATAAATAACTTTTTTTTTTTTTAAGAACAAAAGCCTTGTTATACCTGATATAGGTTCTAATCTTAGAGAGTAGTAGGAGTTGTAACTGGGTTGGAAGGGTGGGGCCTGGTTGTAGAGGACCTCGAAACTAAAGAGAAGTTAAGTATGGATGTCTTAGGTAGTACATAAATTTGGTAGGTCCCCAGATAGATCAATGGAGAGGTTTTTAAGTGGCCTCTGGGCATGATTAGTCTGGAGGTAGTGTATAAATAGAAGGGGGACCAGCAGATAGCATAATGGGCTATGTCGCTGGACTCCCATGTAGTCAACTGCAGTTCAGGTCCCGGACCCAGTGGCTTAAATTCATGGCAGGTGCATATGCGTCCGTGTCTTAAGATCTTGAGAGGAGAATGGAGGAGAAGGGATTGCGGTGTGGCCATCCCCCCTGGGGCAGGCGATGTCTCGCTTTCTCTCTATCTCTCTCTGTCTCTCTGGTGAGCGCACACACCGTATAGCAAAAACCTCTCCCCCCAAAAAAAGATTAGAAGGGAGAGAGAGCTACAACAGGGATCGATGAGGCAATTGCAGCAGTCCAGGTGTAGCCCAATGGTAGCAATGCTAACAAAGAGACAGGAAATAGTAACTTGAAAAGCTTTCATTACTAATTGCCTGATGGGATAAAAGCAGGGAAAGGGTCAGAGATGGCAAGCCACTGGGTCTGGGACTCGAACCATGCAGCTGGCCATGTAGGATCCAGCTGCTTTAACCACCATACCATGAGCTGGTCTAGTGATTTAAGGTATTTTAACTTGGTAACTATAAAGGTGGTGCCACCCATCATCAGGGATGGGTGAATAGTGAGTAGATCCTAGTGAGAAGATTATGGGATGTTTTTAAGTTTGAATTTGTTGATGTTTTGGGGGGAGGGTAGAGGTTTTTTGCTATAGGGTGCATACACTCGCCAGAAAGACAGAGAGAGAGAAAGCAAGAAATCACCCCCCGGGGGGGGTGGCCATGCCACAGTCCCTTCTCCTCCATTCTTTCCTTAGGGTCTTGAACAAGCATACACATGCACCTGACATGAGTTTAAGCCACCAGGTCCGGGACTCGAACCGCAGTTGACTACATGGGAGTCCAGTGACATAACCATTACGCTAACTGCTGGTCCCAAATTTGTTGATTTTTGAGGTGCCATCTGAGAATCCAAGTTAAGATGAGTAGGATAAGTGTGAACCTCATAGGGGAAATTGACTGGTAGGAAGGTATGGTATATATGTGGGGGTTAAAGGCCTGGAATTAGGGATGCTGCCTGGGAGGCTCTTGTAGTAGATGAGGCGTGAGAAGTCAAAGTTAGAATTAAGGTGAAAGAGGTGGTAATAGGGAGGAAGGAGTGGATCTATTAATACTGATATCAAATGGTAATCCTACTCCAAATACTTAACTGCTTTGGGAGTAAATGGTGCATGTCCCAGCCAGAAGGGGAGTAAGCTAGCTGGTGTTATTAGTGAACGTTGGGAAGCTCAGAACTTGCTGCTTTAGTTCCCAATGTTGTGTGTGCCCATTTCTTCTCAGGGAAGAGGCATTCTGGATCTTGACTTGGAGACCTGAGCTATACCTCAACTTTGCATTTCTGTACCACCTCTTCCTGGTACAGCTTTTCATTTATAGCATCTGTAGAGGACTTTAGCGGAACTGTACTGAAAGACCATGCATGATGAGAGGAAAGGCAGGGTAAAACACTGAGTAAAAACTGCTGAGGTAAATCCATTGGATGTGGTAGACAGACTGCCAATATTTCCTAGTAAAAACTGACTGCGTGAAGACTGTTACACATTTGGGAAGGTGTTTTTCCTATTTTACTCAACAATTAATCTAAGTTTCAGTTCATTTCTTCTGACTCTACATTGAAAAGTAAGCCTTGGGACCAGCAGAGAGTGTAGTGGTTACGTCACTGGACTCCCCCATGGCCAACCACAGCTTGAGTCCCAGACCCAGTGACTTGAAACTCATACTGGTTGCATGTGTTTGTGTGCTCAAGATGTCAGGAAGAGAGGGACCAGCAGTTAGCATTATGGCTATGTTGCTGGACTGCCATGTAGTTGACCGCAGTTCACGTCCTGGACCTGGTGGCTTATCACGCTGGGTGCGTGTGCGTGCGTGCCCAAGATCCCAAGAGGGAAATGGAGGAGAAGGGATTACGGCGTTACCACCCCCCCTGGGGGGTGATTTCTCGCTTTCTATCTCTCTGTCTCTCTCTGTCTATCTGGTGAGCGCACGCGCTCTACCCAAAAAACTTCTAAAAAAAAAAAAAAAGAAAAAGATATCAGGAGGAGAATGGAGCAGAAGAGATTGCCGCATGACTATCCCTCCAGGGGGGTGATTTCTCACTTTCCCTCTCACTGAGTGTTTCCCTCCTACACAACCACAAGTGCACACACCCTAAGGCAAAAACTTCTTTAAAAAGTGGATATTATATGGTTCCTGTCTAAGACTTATTGAAATAGGCCCAGCCATTGTTCCTCCTTCTTATGTCCCTGTCTACCACCTGTGCTCCCATTTTTTGTTATTGTTAAGAATTATTTAATTTTATGTATTATTATTTTAAATTTCCTATAGAACAAGTGTGTTGACCAGAGGGACAATGAGAAAGCAAGCTGCCAGGTCAAAGACTTGAACTGCAGTTGACCATGCCACCTGCTGGCCTCTCTACTCCCATTTGAAATACAAATCATGCTCCTTAGAGCCTCCCACTTGGATGCACCTTTCATTGTCTCTTGTGTCTTTTCTTTCTGTATCCCTTGGGTTATTAGAGACATTGAATTAGTTTTTCTTTCTTCTTTTTGCTTCTTTACTTTAAAAGGCATTTCTTTCTCCAACAGATATGGGTTTAGAGTGTCCAGTATGCAAAGAAGATTACACAGTTGAAGAGGAAGTCCGGCAGTTACCCTGCAATCACTTCTTTCACAGCAGTTGTATTGTGCCATGGTTGGAACTAGTGAGTACAGCCAGTTGTCATCTGTGACGAGACACTCATGCGAGTCACATCTTCTTGGGAATGGTTAAGATTAAAGGTGTAGTTAACTTGGAGAGCCAAGTAGGTCTGATTTTCATTCCATGAATCTCTGCCTAACTCCTAGTACCACTGTTACTGTTTTGTTAGATTACTATATATTTGGAACTCTTCTAATCAGAGCTTGAGAAACTGTAGCCCATAGACCACTGTGGCCTAGCAAGTGGCTTTGCAAATAAAGTTTTATCAGAACACAGCTATACTCACTTGTTTACAAATTGTCTGTGGCTACTCTTGTGCTACCTCAGCAAAGTTGAGTAAGTGTAACAGAGGTGGTGTGGCCTGCAAAGTCTAAAGTATTTCCTCCCTGTCCCTTTAAAGAGAAACTTGACTGATCCCTGCTCTAGACTGTATTGAAGTTGGTGAGTAGTTCACTGTGGTTAGTTCTGTATTAGCTGTTGTTACACTGCTGGCCTACAATGGTCTGCATTCTCTCAGTTTTGCTGTAAGTTCTATTTGGGAGGTATCCTGGTGTCACACAATGGAACGTAGGTGCTGTGTGAAGATGCATGCCGTTTTTGTTTTTCTAGTTGCCAGGTCACGTATGCCAGTTCTCAGGGTTTCTTAGTGTTCAATAACACAGCTTCCCAGGTCGGGCTTTGACATGGACTGTTTTTGTTTCAGCATGACACATGTCCTGTGTGTAGAAAGAGCTTAAATGGTGAGGACTCTACTCGGCAAACCCAGAATTCTGAGGCTTCTGCAAGCAACAGATTTAGCAGTGACAGCCAGCTACATGACCGATGGACTTTCTGAAGCTGAAGACCACACCTGAACCAGGGCTGTTGTGGTCTTCTTACCATAGCTGTAAATTGTATCAAAACAAAAATAGTAGATGGATTTAGGAATCACCTAAGAAACCCTGCCTGTACTTACTGCAATGAGTGTTTTTCTTCTCTAAATTTAAAGCTAGTATCTGCAGATGGAATTGTATTTACAACCAAATGCCTCTTCTTCCTGAATTCAGAGTGATCATTTTATAAGTGTGAAACTTAATTATGTGGGTTCCCTTACCTAAATAGGATCAGTTCCTTAAAGTCTAGCTAGGGTCCTGTTATCTATCATGTTGCCTTGTAATGGATGTTTTCACCTCCTTCTCCAACCTCTGCCCCACTGTTAGTGTATTTTACAGTAAACACAGTGGAACCAGAGCCCTAAAGTCCTGCTGACACACCATCTCTTTGTCTTAATTGTACGAGAGCTCTTGACCACATTAGCCATGAAGTGAAGTCAAGTTAATTCAGGAATCTGAGAATAATGATTTTGTTTCATCTCGATCTCTGGAAAACACATCAAGGAAAAATTACAGTGGGAAGGACCATTGTACACTTTGGCTTTCTCATTTTAATTTTTAAAGTTTACTTCAGGAGATATAGTTTCCCCAGAAACTGACCTGACATGTCTTAGGAGTCTTATATTGGTAAGAATCTGATTCTGGTTGAATAATTTGGGCAGCATACAGGTACAGAAAGACAGATTTTCAAAATCTTTGGTTCTGTGGCATTTTTGTTTTTAATTTTTTTTCTTTATTCATAATAGAGCATGTGCATGCATGCATATGCAAGTGAGAGAGAGAAAGAGAGAAAAGCACCCTCTAGAGGTTCTGGTCCAGCTGCAGTCCTCTTCCTTCAGATCTCTAGCCTGTCAGATCCTAGGCATTCGATGCCTGTCCAGCATATTTCAGGTTGACTGGACTGGGGATTCAAACCAGTCACCGTGTGGGATCTGGCTTCCCTCAGCAGCACATTACCACTGTGCCATAGAGCTGGCCCCTGAGATCTTGGTGTGTTTCTTTTCTTTCTTTTTCTTTTTTTAAATAGCCTCAAGTTATTTTTTCCTAGTCACTATAAAATAATTTCTTTCACAAAAATAAGATTGCTTCATTACTGCTTCTATAGCCAGTTCACTATTTTTGGTAATTCATTGGTCTTCAGGAATTGAGAGTTTGCATTTTCTCATCTTAAATTTTAAGCCCAATTTTTATCTCTGAAGTTTTCCTGTTCTGCTTGGTCTGACTGTACTTGTCAAACTGATTCATGTGATCCTGCCTAACAGAACTTTGCCCTGGACAGAGAGTTCTTATTTTTTCAGCCTAACAATATCTTGTGCACATGCTCTTTGGAGCATTTATGTATTTAAAGTTGAATAAATGAAGAAGGTCAAGAATGTTGTTGTAACTTCAAAAATATAAAAAAAAAAGGGGGGGAACATATTACAGCTGTTGGTATACCAAAAAAAGGCATTAATGGTGCATAGAGGGGCACCATTTGTGTGGTCACATTAGCCTTTCATAGCTTAAAGTGATCAGAACGAGAATGCTACTCTGATGAATCTTTTTCTTGGCTGGGAGTCTTTCCTCAGTTTTTGTAAATATAACCCAAGAATGCACATTGGTTTTGAATTGGGGGTGAGGAGTATGAGGGGAGGTGAAGGATGTAGAATGAGTATTTGGCCACTACTTAGATGAAGAAGGCTTTGTTGGAGCACATTGCAGTTTTCAAGTAGAAAAGTGTCAGCTGACTCAAATTATGGCATCCTAGAAATTTTTGTCCACTTTTTAACTGTCTGAAGATGCCAGGACAAGCAGTTGTGTCTTTACTTATAACTACAGAACTAGAAAGGATCTGAGTAGTTTTATAAAAGGTAGAAACCAATGTGCTAGTTATATGCCTTTTTAACTCACACTATAGCAAACAGCATCAGGCTAGGTTGTCTGAAATGTTCTTCACTCTTTTTTGCTTTGATAAGAGGACATGAGGCTCATTTTGCTGTTTCCCATACCTGTCCCACTTAGTGAACCAGTAGTATTTCTTCCTCTAAGGGGAAGTATCTCAAGACTTCCATGTTAATTTATTTTAAAGAGTTAGATTCTTCAGAGAAACAACCAATAAGATGCATGTGTATATAGTGAAAGAGATTTATGGTAAGGAGTTGGTTCATACAGTCTGGAGGCTGAAAAGTCCCAAGATCAGTAGTGGACCAGCTGGAGGCCTGGAGAGCCAATGGTGTAGTTGCAGCTGACAGCCAGCAAACTCGAGACCCAGAAGATCTAGTATTTCTGTTCAGTGTGAAGGCTAGAAGACCGAAGTTCAACTCAAACATTCAGACAGGAATCCTCCTCCCTTAAATGAGGAGAGGCCTGCCTTTTTGTTCTACTCAGTCCTTAAACTGACTGAATAAGAGCCGTCCAGGTAAGGGAGAGAAGTCTACATGAGGGAAGGCAGTCTACAGCTTTCTTCAGTCTATAGATTCAAATGGTAGTCTTTTGCAAAAACATCCTCACAGTGACCTTTTGGTGTTTCATCAGTAACGCGAAGTTCTGCAGTGCTGGACACACAGAGAAGGTTCCAGGTTCTCAACCCAGGGTCTTCCTGAATGCATGTTTGTGCCTCTTCCAAGCTGGCTGAAAGTGGATGTGAATTGTAGCATGAAGAGGGGTTCCTACCTCCAACACCTGAACCCTAACACCTCTCAGAAGAAATATACTTCGGGAACCAGCAGTTAGCGTAATGGCTATGTCGCTGGACTCCCACGTAGTCGACCGCGGTTCGCGTCCCAGACCCGGTGGCTTAAAACTCAACAGCGGGCGCGTGTGCGTGCGTGCCCAAGATCCTGAGAGGAGAATGCAGGAGAAGGGATTGCGGTGTGGCCATCCCCCCTGGAGGGTGATTTCTCGCTTCCTGTCTCTATGTCTCTCTCTGTCTGGCGAGCGCACGCACCCTATAGCAAAAACCTCTCCAAAAAAAAGAAATATACTTCAAAACAAAACATAACAAAAACACTCTCAGGACACACCCAGAATAACATTGACCAGATATCTGGACATCCTGTGGCCTCGTCAAGTTGATGCATGAAATTAACCATCCCAAGGAAGAAAAACAGAAATGACATACACAGAGTGATCCTCATACCACTAAAGTTTTCTAGGTTTTTGTTTTTTTCTTTTTTAATTTGCTATAGAACACATGTGCTTGCTGGAGAGAGAGAGAAAACATCCCCCAGGGGAGATGGCCACACAGTAATCCCTTCTGCATTTTTCTCTCAGGATTTAGGGCATGCATGCACACATGCTTAGTGTGTTATTTTAAGTTTCTAGGTCCAAGACTCGAACTGCACAATTGGCCATGTAGAATCCAGCCCCCCTAACCACCATGCCATTGGCTGGACCCCCACTTAAATTGTGGTGAGTGAACAAGCTGTGTCTGTAGGAGATATATATGTCTTTAAAAGATAGATCTTTCCTTGGCCAAAACTGCTTAGTACTTTGGTTAAATAGTGGAAGAAATGTATATGGTATACGGACCAATTTGTTGTATTTATAATTTCTGTTCTTTCCTCCTTAACCTAAATTAACCTAAAAGTCTAAAATGTCTCCTATTCAAGGAAGACACATTTTAGATCCACTGACCTAACTATGAAACATGGCTGGCTAGGATTGAGTTTATTTCTAGGAATGCCTTGCCTTTGAGTGTTTCAAACAGTTTAGATTTAGTGCCTAAGGCAGAAGTCTAAATAATCTGGACTTTCAGATGTTCATTTCTTTTTTGTTTCTTTTGGAGATGTTTTTGCTATAGGGCACGTGTGCTCGCCAGACAGAGAGAGACAGAGAGATAGAAAGCGAGAAATCACCCCCAGGGGGGATGGTCACGCTGCAGTCCCTTCTCCTCCATTCTCCTCTCGGGATCTTGGACATGCACGCACATGCGCCCGGCGTGAGTTTAAGCCATCGGGTCCAGGACTTGAACTGAGGTCAACTACATGGGAGTCCAGCGACATAGCCATTATACTAACTGCTAGCCCCTCAGATGTTCATTTCTTTACAGCTGGAAGACTTACATAATAAAAAATCTGGAGCCTTATAGAAGACCAAGGGAGAGAAGATTCAGCTTTCCTATCAATGGAGAAGAAGAAGATGTTGAGATTTCAGATCTTAAGCCCTTCATATTCATATTAAATGGCTTATTCTTTGAAATCCATGCAGAACTGAAGAGATTGTTTTCTTATTCTGAATCCTTTTTTTTTTTTTTTGGAGAGGTTATCACTATAGGGCACGTGTGCTCGCCAGACAGACAGAGACATAGAGACAGAAAGCGAGAAATCACCCCCCAGAGGGGATGGTCACGCCGCAATCCCTTCTCCTCCATTCTCCTCTCGGGATCTTGGGCACGCACACACACACATGGTGCCTGGCGTGAGTTTTAAGCCACCGGGTCTGGGACGCAAACTGCAGTCGACTACGTGGGAGTCCAGGGACATAGCCATTACACTAACTGCTGGTTCCCTCCTTTTTTCTTTTAAATATTTATTTATTCACATGAGTTTTACCAGAGCAAGAGAGAGAGAAAGCAAGCCACCAGGTCCAGGACTTGAACCGTGGTTGGCCATGTGGGAATTCCAGCACCTTAACCACCATGCCACTTGCTGGCCCCTCTTTTCTTCTTTATTATAATTACTCTTGTCGTAAATGAAGAACTTAAATAGAGATTTCCCTTTGTCTGTTACAATATGAAATGAGAGAAGAGAAGTATTGGTTTGTTAGGAAAGTCATGACGTATTTTTCTATGCAAAAATACGTCATGACTTTCCCAATGACCCAGTATTTGGTTAGCATATAATTAGGAAAGATTTACCTGAGAGTGGTAGGCTTGGTAGGGTTTTTGTTTGTTTGTTTGTTTTTTGAGGTTTTTGTCATGGGGCACTCGCCCTTGTGGAGAGAGACAGAAAGAGGGAAAGTGAGAAATTACCCCTAAGAGGGATGGCCATTCTGTAATCCTTTCTCCTCCATTTTCCTCTTGGGATTTGGGGCACACATACGCATACGCCCAGGATGATTTTCAAGCTGCCAGGTCCAAGACTCAAACCATGATCAGCCATGTGGGAGTTCAGTGCCTTAACAATCATAGACCTTGCTGGCCCCTAGACTTTGAAGTTAAGAGGTTACATAGGGCAATGCCTTGCTGTCCCACCTCCCTTGCTTCTCAGGTAGTTTCTAGATAGGTTAGTCTAACTTATCTTTTTTTTAAATTATTTTTATTTAATTAATTTACTCATTCATTTATTTTAATTTTACCTGAGAGAGAGACAGAGAGAGAAAGGGAGAAAGGAAGCCACCAAGTCCGGGACTCGAACCGTGGTCGGCCATGTGGGAGTGTCCAGCACCTTAACCACAATGCCACCTGCTGGTCCCAGTCTAACTTATCTTTATATGGGTTAGTTCTGTCTGTTGAACCAGGGAGTTGGTTGGAAGGACAGGGATGTGGATATTTAGCTTCTATTTCCACCATCTTAAAAGTATTAGAGCTAAAGAATTGGAAGCAGAGAGAAGGTGTAATCCCAGCAGTAAAAATCAGTTTTCTTAGGCCAGCCAGTGGTGTGGATTCTGCATGGCCAACTGAGCAATTTGAATCTCAGACCCAGGAGCTTGAGAAATACCAGGTCCGGGTGCATGTGTGCCTAAAATTCCGAGAGAAAATGGAGGGGAAGGGATTGCAGCATGGCCATCCTCCTGATAGTGATTTCTTTCTCTCTCTTTTCAGTGAACACATACACCCTATAACAAAAACTTGGAAAAAGAGAAGAGTTTTCTCTGTAAATTCCAACTGCCAGTTCTCTGAAGAGCTGAGAAACCTGGAGAGTCCAGAATGACATTTTGTCCCTGTTGCTGTAGTTCCTTGACTCTTTGCTTCTAATATAATGTTTTTGTTTTGTTTTTTGGAGAGGTTTTTGCTATAGGGTGCATGTGCTCACCAGAAAGATGGAGAGAGACAGCTAGAAAGCAAGAAATCACCCCCTGGGGGGATGGCCACACCACAGTCCCTTCCCCTCTTGGGACCTTGGGCATGCATGCACACACCCCCAGCATTGAGTTTAAGCCACTGGGTCTGGGACTCCAACCGTGGTCGACTACATGGGAGTCCAGATGTAGCCTTTACACCATCTGCTGGTCCCCCTTCCAATAATTTTTAATTTTAAGAATTCCTCTATGCAAAGAATGTAAAAAATGACAAATAGCTTCCTTATTAGGTCATTATAAACTTTTATCATTTGCTTCATAAGAATTGGGCAAGTGCAGAAGAAGCGGACGTAGGTGGCTCCGAGCCCCGGCAGTCCACTCTGCTCCTGACTCAATGCTGTTTGCTCTCGCGAGGAACAAGTTGGTCAGGAAG